GGGGAGGGGTGCCCGGCCGGCGGGGGCCGCAGGCCGCTCGAAGGAAACCAGGGGGTGGGTGCACCGCGAAGAGGCCAAATTCGGCGTCCGTGGCGCGCCCTGGCGTCGGCTCTGGTGCGGCGCTGCCAGGGTCCCCCCGCGCACGTGATGTGGTTGGCGCCTGCCGTGCCGCCTCGCCATGCAACGCGCCGACGCCCAACCCCGCGCGCCGCGCCCGTCCGACTCCCGCAGGCAGGGGCGCGCGGGGCGCCTGCACGACCGGCTCAAGTACAGCCGCGGCGGGAGCGGCGGCGGCTGGGCCTTGGAACGGCTGCAGCCGTGAGCGCGGCACGAAGGTCGTGCGGCGGCCGCGGTCGCAGCGGCGGGCGGCGGCCGGGAGCAGGCGTGCGCCCGGCCGGGCGCGGCGCGTAGTTGTGGCGAAGACGGCAGCCGAAGCGGCGGCGGCGGTGCTGGCGGCGGCGGCGCGCCTCACGACGCGTCTGGGGGCTGGGCTGCGGATGGACAAAGCACTGAGTCGTTTGCTTGTCGCGCCGCTGTTATGGGACCCTCAATTTCGTGTAATGGCTTGAGGGTCATCTAGAACCGGCGTGTTCAAATTTGCAGCGCGCTCGCTACTGCGATGACACTCAGACACCGGAACACCCCTGGCCGCTTTGTCAGCACGTCTCAGTGGGCCTTTGGGCGCAGCTGCCGCGGACACGCGCCCCGGCCCGCGGCGGCAGTCGGAGCGCGCGACAGGCCGCGTGCTGCGCCACTGCATGCGGCGCGCAACGTGCGGCGCGGCACACGGGTTGGACAACGGGGTGCCCTGGCGTGGCTGGCCCATCCCTGCAACCCCGGCCGGCAGGGCTTCCGCCACCCCACCCTCCCTCCCCACCCCCGGCAAGGGGCCACGGCAAGCCGTCCCCGCGCCGCATCTTGGAGTTCTGAGTAGAACAGGCCCTCAGCTCAATGACTCCAGGCACGGCTTGGGGCTGGGGGCTCATCACGCCTCCGCATGCTCGCCTCATGACCAATCACATGCTGAGTGGGTCACCCGGGTGACGCACTTCCGCCGCGTCAGAACCAGGTCAGCACCCCCCTCGCCCCCTTGCAAGCCTTGAAGCGGCACAATCAGACAGAAGTGGTAGATCTCAGCCGATGCCACGGCCTACGTGTGCAGGGGGGGGTCAAAGGCAGGGTGTCGCTCACCCCCTCATAACCCCCCCAGATAGTCACCAAGCTGCGGCGCAGCTTTGGGCATCCCAAGCATGTACGCATGGTCCTCGCGTCTCAAACTGCATAGCAACCGCCGATGGGCTTTCCTGTGCATCGGCCAGGGCCAGGCCGGGCCACCAGCAGCAGGCCCCCCGTCATGACTGTGCGCAAATCGGTTGACACCGCTGGCGGCTGCGCACATTGAATGACATCCTGTCTGTATGTGCCTCGTTCTCAATTTTGGGCACATGACGGGCGATCAAGCGTCGTTATGGGTGACTGCCTTGACAGCGTGAAGAACAGTGCCATCCCAGGCGAAGCCGCGTTCCTCAACACGGCCGCACCGGGTCTCAGAGATGCACCAGCGTAGCTGTAGTTCTCGTGTGTTCGTTTGCTCATGCTCTCTGTCAGCACACACCTCGTGAAGATAGTTCCCAGTGCTGTACTTTTTACTGCACAGCAGCCAGGACGTAACTAAGCGCGCTTCGGCTGACTTCAGCATCCATAGAGACCTGAGTCAGCTTTTCTAGAGCTGCGGGGGCGTGGGGCCGCGGCCTAGGACAGGATCAGGCTTTGTCAGCCCGCATGTGGGCAGCCAGGCTTAAACTTGCCTGGTAAGCATGTGAAATTATCTCGGTCCTCCCCTTCCAATCAACGGCCGCGGGTGTGGCCCAGATCGCTGGGCTTGAATACCACCCGCGCTGTGCACGGGGGGCTCCAAGGCTAGAAAGAAACGCGCAAGCATCACACAGCATGCTGCTTGATGCTTCCGTGCAGCTTGGCTAGAGCAGCCGCATGCGTGCGCCGCGCGCGCGTCGAGCGACCCGCGCGCGCCCTGCAGCCGAATGCGCGAGACCCACGCAATGCTGGCCGCCGCGCAGGGCATGATGGATGACGAGACCCTCGGCGTGTCGGCCCCGCCGGCGCCAACGTTCGCTGCCATGCAGCTGCCGGGCGGCCTTGATCTGGGGCTCGCGCCGTCACAGCTGGCGGGCACGGCTGCGCTGGCGGCCGCAGCTCAGCAGCAGCAGCAGCAGCAGCAGCAGCAGCAGCAGCAGCAGCAGCAGCAGCAGCAGCAGCATCCCGTGATGGCTGCGCCTCCCGGGCTCGGGCTCGGGCAGCTGCAGGCGGCGCCGCTCGCGCAGCAACAGCCGCCGCCGCCGCCCCAGCAGCAGCAGCAGCAGCACCCGCAAGCCGCGGCAGCGGCCGCCGCCGCCGCCGCCGCGCTGGGCGTCGCG